GGGGGGGTGGGAAAGGGTATGGGGCGTTAGTTTTTGTTTGTGCGCATGGTATGGGCATAGCGCATATATTTTCCAAAATAAGATAAGATAAGATAAGATAAGATAAGATAAGGTACTTCTTTTTTGTCCAGATCCTGGCACATTGGTTTGGTGTTTCCCCACGTGCACGCACACACACACACACACACACACACACACACACACACACACACACACACACACACACACAAACACACGCACACACATACACACTTACACACTCACAAACATGCACACACATGTTAACACGTACTCAAACATGCACACACACGCAGGCATACAATCACATGCATGATATAAATGAGAAGCAATATAAACAATTATAATCTTAAGCTAGGTACATACTCTTATACTTTCTGCAGTTCAGTCAGCACAAGTATGAGATGAGCTAATTAAGTTCTTCCTTCTTGTTCAATTCTTTGCATAATAATAATAATAATAGATAATAGATAATAGATAGCATTTGTATAGCGCATATCCCCACTCAACAGCAGGCTCTATGCGCTTTACACTATATTCTTAGTTAATCAACGTTATCTTGCAATTCTCAATATAAATTATAATATAATGTTTTCTCAACCTACTGTACATTTTGTTATATTCAATATTTTGACTATTCAGTTTATATTTTTGACATACAAAATATATTCTTGACATATTCTGTATAATATATCCTTGACGCATTCAAATTCACTTTCTTGACATACTAAATACAATCTGTTCAATATGTGAAGAACATATTAAATATGTCAAGAATTATATTTGACTGTATTCGATATACATTATAATCTTGACGTATTTAATACCTACGTCAAGTCTGTGCTCCTCTACGGCTGCGAAACTTGGAAGACAACGAAGACAGTACTGAATAAAGTCCAGACTTTCATCAACAGATGTATGAGGAGTATTCTAAGAATTAAGTGGCAGGATAGAATAAGAAATGAAGAACTGTGAGAAAGGACAGGACAAAAGGATATAGAAGTAGAAATAGGACTAAGAAAGTGGCGATGGATGGGACACACCTTAAGAAAGCCCAGCGGAAACATCACAAGACAGTCACTGCAGTGGAACCCACAAGGAGCACGAGGCAGGGGTAGGCCACGGGAAACATGGAGGAGATGCGTGGAAAGGGACATGAGAGAAATGAAGCTCACTTGGAACAAGCTTGGAAGGATGGCTCAGGACAGAGATAAATGGAAGGAGCTTGTATGTGGCCTATACCCTGCCAGGGGTGAAAGGCATTGATGATTGATGATTTAATACTTGTATAATTATCACATCCAATGATGATGGCGTTAACGTATCACCCAGCCAAGGTTGAATCAGGTTATTATTTATTAATTAAAACAAACTCACTCACCTTTTTGCTGATGACGCCACTGAGAATTGAGCCAATGACGTTAACTTGTCACCCAGCCACGGTTGAATCTCGTTATTATTAATTAAAACAAATTCACCCACCTTTTTGCTGATGACGCCACTAAAAATTGAGCCAATCAGAAAGCCCACAGAGTAGGCGGTGAAGAAGGCGGCGGCAGCCTCCACGTCAGTGTTGGTGATGATCTGAAGGTCGAGAAATGTGGAGCCGTTCAGACTCCGTGATGTGCCCTGTGGGGATTGCAGGGAGAATAATATTATAATGATGTTGTTGGCGAAATATGTCCGTTATTCCACATTTCACGAGATCCGGAGCTTGAAAGTTATAGGCTAGCCTACATGTATCATTTTCGTTGATGAGAGTTGAGGCGCATTTAGCTTCGACCGTGGCTAGTTTGTTTGTTTTTTTGTTTTTTTTTTAAATTTTAAACATTTTTGTTAATGTTGTTATTTTTGTTTATGTTTTGGGGTTTTGTTGTTACTGCAGTTTGTTTAGTTAATTAGTTAGTTAGTTAGTTAGTTAGTTAGTTAGTTAGTTAGTTAGTTAGTTAGTTAGTTAGTTAGTCAGTCAGTCAGTCAGTTTGTTTCTTTGCTTAGAGGGGGGGGGGGTTCAAATTTGATCTGTTTCTCTCTATGATGTTGATAGATATAAGAGATCCCAACCCCCGTCTCTTCCAAGTGACACAAATGTAATCATTTGGTAGGTCAACACTGGCTACATGAGGATGAATGAAATGCAGCATCCCATCAGGTAGACATGATATATACTCGAACCCCCCCCCCCCCAACTCTCTCTCTCTCCCCCCCCCCAAAAAAAAACGTACACACGCGCCTATTCACTCACGCACTATAGACTTAGACTAAACACAAATAGACACACATACATACATACATACATGGCGGGGGGAAGCAGACACACAAAAAAAAATTTTTTT